TGCGGATACAGGAATTTTTTTCTTTTAACACTCTGAGATCGGCAAAGCTGCGATGCTTTCACAGGGCTTCTGTAAAAGCTGGATTGGACAGCACGGACTTCAAACTTTATAAAAGTAATGTTAAAACCACATTTAATGATGGATAATTTTGCCATTTTATGTGCATTTACAGAATGTTTTGTGACCAGGAAGTGCGTGACTGCACCATGAAACCTATTTTCCCATTTCCTCAAACACACCACATTTCTGAAACAACCAATCAAAACAGTTTCTCTCTACTGGGCTTGTAAACAGAGAGCTGCCGGGCCTCAAAGTTTGGAGAAGGGGGGAGCCTGGAAGCACTTTATAAAGAGTCTAACCATTACAAACTCATACAAGGAGATAAAACAGACGTTTTACATGGTGAAATGTGACTGATGAAAACTTAGGAGCTTAATCCCACACCAGTTTGACCATGAACAACATCGGGTGACCAGTCTGACTTTTTTTTTCACATTGGACTCCACCAGAAGAAATCCCGTGCATACTGCAGCTTAAATGTTCACTACGTCAGAACTTATTCAGCAAATGTGTTTCCATCTCTGCTTTTGTGCATTAACTCTTACAGGATGGGGGAAATTGTGCTTCGCGGAGGTTTGCACTCTCCGAGTGCTTCTGGTTATTAATAATATCAGAGAAAATCGCACAGTCATGTCAACACAACCTCCATGTCGGCTCTGCAGACTTAAGCAGCTCGTAAGGATTGCTACTTTCAATAAAGCTAAATACCTTGATTTAGATTTATTATTCAGTAGATCCATGAGTGTCCTGAAAGACACGTTTTACACACAAACTATTATTATCCTGGTCATGCTCGTCTGCGTCGTTCAGTGGCCTGTTTTACATTTTTTCTCACTTGCTTTTGTGGTTCTCCCATACTAGTTTTATCGCTACAAGCTAAATGCTAGGTGCGGAGGGTAAAAAAGTCCCCGATGAGGACGTCATTGAGAACTTCAGCCCCGCCCACTCTCACCTGCTCCCAATTGTCTCCTCACCAGGTGTTAAATGGTGTTCATGAGTTGAACATGGAGCATGTTTTTGTACATGCTTGCTGTTCCTGAGTTTATTTGTATGTTTTTTTTTGCAAATCATCTTGTTTTATTTAGTTYTTAATGTTCTGAGCTCTTCGTGTCGTTCCTCCTGCCACAGATCGTAACAACAGGTGGAGGAGGAACCGGACTGGAGGAATTGAAGAAGGACCAGTCCCAGGTCGATAGTCCGAAGCGTGGAGCTCAACACGAGAGCGAGGAGAGTGCAGGCGAGGTTTGGAGATGAAAGATTACAGAGTCCATCAGAGGGATGGATCGGGTTTGGACAGGAGGGATCGTGGACATTATTAAAGACAAATATTTACTTACGTCCTCTAAGAAAGCTTGTCTCGCTGCAGTGAAATGAAGATAAACTCGACTCGCATCACTGCGGTCGTTGCACCTTCTGACTCATGACGACATCCCTCATGAGTCAGCAGATCTTTGCACACATCAGTCATGTGTGACCGCTCCGTCTTTAACCTGGTGCTGGTGAAAGTGAGYGTGTTTCACTGACGGGGCGGTTTCTCTGTAAACATCGTCCTGCCTTCTCTTCTTCTTCAGCGTGGGAAATAATTCAGCAGAACGTCAGCCTCTCTGGTGCTGAGCCTGTCAGGAGGATTCGTTAAGAGTTGGGAATAAAATCAACGTTAATGTCGCTTTTTCTACATAATTACTGAGTTGATTGTTTTTGAAATGCCTCAAACATTTGCAAAGGTTCTCATTTTCCTTGTAATTTTCCCACTTTATTTAATTATTTTTTCCTTAACGTCAGTCATCTCGATGGAAGCGGAGAGCAGATGTTTCCACAAATAATTTTTTTCATGGTTCTCTCGTGAAAACATTATGTCAACACATTATGTCGTTATCACGAAATAACACGTTATCTCTAGAAAACCATTGAGAAATAACCTCTTTATTTCAAGAAAATGCTCATTATTTCATAATGACATATTTAACTTATCTCTAGAAAACCATTAGGAAATTAACTCGTTAATTTAAAAAAACACTCATTATTTCATGATAGCAACATCTGTAACCTGTTATCTTGAGAAAACACTCATTGTTATTTTGTGAAAACGACATATTTAACTCTATTTCTAAGAAACCATCAAGAAATTAACTCGTTATTTCGAAAAAAAATCGGGAAATTTACTCGTTAAGAGAAAACATTCATTGTTATTTCGTAATAATGACAGATTTAATTCAACATCTCGTGAAAACGCTCATCTTTATTACGTAATAAAATATTTAACTCGTCATCTCAAATGATCATCTTTATTACGTAATAACGACATATTTAACTCATCTAGAGAAAACGCTCATCTTTATTACGTAATAATGACATTTAACTGGTCATCTTGAAATCGCTCATCTTTATTACGTAATGACTACACATTTAACTCGTTATCGAGAAAACGCTCATCTTTATTACGTAATAACGACATATTTAACTCATCTCGAGAAAACGCTCATCTTTATTACGTAATAATGACATTTAACTGGTCATCTTGAAATCGCTCATCTTTATTACGTAATGACTACACATTTAACTCGTTATCGAGAAAACGCTCATCTTTATTACGTAATAACGACATATTTAACTCATCTCGAGAAAACGCTCATCTTTATTACGTAATAACGACATATTTAACTCATCTCGAGAAAACGCTCATCTTTATTACGTAATAACGACATATTTAACTCATCTCGAGAAATCTCTCATCTTTATTACGTAATAACGACATATTTAACTCATTTCGAGAAATCTCTCATCTTTATTACGTAATAACTACACATTTAACTCGTTAT